GGTTTCTTTTATCAGGTCTGCTGTGCATGTCAGTGGTTGTAGCACATGCAGAGGTTTATTCCCTGTTTGTAGAGAAGAATTTCCCCAGTGATGCAGCATAGACTTGTTCAACCCAAAAGGTGTAAAAGACATTGTCTTTTCTTTTCTAAGTGACTTCAGTGTTTCAAACAGGCTAATGTCAAAGAGATTAACCCAAAGGAGCTATACTGTAGATGTATAATTGCATACAAATGCATGCTATTGCTTCATGTATTAGTCTTCGTTAAAAAATCATTTTGATATATTTGTTTTAGCAGCAAAACCAGCCCTGGAGGCATACAGGGTATAATTAGAAAAGGGCATGGTGGGGGAGGTATGGCTTATGGAATGAAGCATTGGCCTTAGGATCACAGGTCCTAATTATAATTTATAATTAACCCCATGATTTTTCACAAACAGTCTAAACTAAAAGAAGAAGCAAAATTTACTTTTTGAGAGAGGGAAAAATGTTTAATTTTGCAATTTCCTTTTTTACAAAATAGTTTCGAAACTTTAAAGTTCAAGGTCCAACATATAAAACTGGACATACGCAGATGACAAATATCTAAAAGTTTTCATGTTAAATATGTATAGTGAAAGCACACATATGTGTGGGCTGTACTATAAGCCTATAACAGAAAGCGTCTTTTCTAAAAAGGTGCCATTTGGGGCTTGTTTTAATATACATATTAATATCCATTTCCCTATGTATGCCATACTTTCAGAGACAGGATGAATAGAGTATTGGTAAAAAAGATCTGTTATCATTCAAATCTGAGGCATTCGTGTTGTTGTATGTTGACATTAATCCGAAGAGAGAGACATGGGCACTGTGTGCCTGGCTGCATGGATCTCTAAACGTCTACATATAGGTTTTTATTTAAATCAAATATGGGTGCAATACCTCTTTCACAATTTGTCTTCTCCAATTCCTTATCATTGTCCAGACCACTATAACATACATGCCCTCTGTGTGTGCACGTTCATTTTCTATCGTTGCGTGGTAGCTAGACATAACTGCAGAAATTTTACTAGCTGCAGAAAGCTGTGATTCTATATGTAAAATAAATATCAAATTTAAAGTTGACAGGAAACCTTTGTTGAATAAAAATAACTAGTACCAGCTGGAAAAATAAATTAATTTATGAGGCTTGACCTTCTCTTGAGGATGTCTTTACGAACCATCAGCTGTGTATTGGAATTGTCTAGGACACAAATGAGTATGAAATTATAGCAAGGCTAGCTTATATAACCTTTCTTGCCCTTTGCAGAAAGAAAAATAAATATGCTTCCTCCAAATGATTCAGTTTTTAAGATGCATTTGACTTTAATGATTCGTGTTTAATTAGGTTTAAAAAAAATCAAGTTAATAAATTAAGTGCAAGGCTTTTGGTGCTGTTTATATAGTTCTATCTATATCCCTGCATTTGTCACTAATTAATGAGTTCCTAATGCTTCAGCTTCTGGGGAGATGAGCAACAAAAATTAACATAACTAGTAAATCTGAAGATGTGCAGCTGGGTGATAGTATTTGAAATTTGACAAAAACATTGCAAGTATTATTATTTGTGACATGGCTCAAGATGGGAGATTGTGAGGAGAGTAAAGATGACAGAACTGGTGCTAACCACTGTGACAACAACTTGAAAAGCAGCCGACATGACATCTTTCCTATCATGCTGCCGAAAATGTCAACTTTGTGAAGGACAGTGAGAAAATGGTTTGCCGAAAATTTGAAAGGTAGATTCAAGAGATGCTCATCATGTCAGATGTAATATAGTCCACAGCTGTTTGAGAAAGGAAGTCCTTGCAGTTGTGATGGCTCGCAGTTGGCAGGCCCTTCCAGACATCCGTGCCGCTCCAAAAATGGCTACAGTTGACCTGTAGATTGTCTCAAGTTTGCAGCAGCATGATATACAGGAGCGAGTGGTGGTTTATAGCATGCCGCTCTGCGGCGCAAGGCACTGTGCAGAAGGAAACCTTGCACTTGGGTTAAAATGCCCATGGTTGGCACCCTGGCTTCCAAAAAGGCATGAGAAAAATGCAAGGCCTAATATTTTAGTGCAAACAAAGTGTGGTGGATGCTATTTTTAAAAAGGCTTTCTCTTCTTGCAGCTAGGTGGGTAGGTTTGTGTCTCAATACAGTCGGTTAGGGTATTATATCTTAATCTGGATAAGCTCAAGGATATTAACTCTGAACTAGAAAAGCACAGGGCTGCCCGCAGACCCATCTGGAGTTTTCAATTGGGCCATCCTTTCAAATGAAAACTGCCAAAGCACAGAAAATGCAGCCTGCTACCTCGAACTTGCAGGATGCTGCTGTGCCAGGGCATTGCAAGAGGCTGGAATCAGTGCTAAATGGCCCGATGCATCCACATTCAAGCCCGCTGTAGTCAGTGGAAAGCCTTCCTTTGCATGCATGAGTTTTGGATTGACCTGGGCAAATGCCATGGGCCCAAATCTGCTCTCTCTGAAGTCAGTAGAAAATGAGCTGGAGTGCTGAAAGCCATGCCCTCTGCAGGCTGACAGCCATATTGTTTAAATAAACTTTAAATTCAAGAATAAAACTAGATTTGAACCAAAAGATTTTTTTTGGACATTTTAAAAAAGAAAGGGTCCTACCTAGTTGAGATGGCTCTTGGCATATGTGCCAAGCCCATCGCCTATAGTGGGCTTGAATTTTGTCGAACATTTTAAGAAAGAAAGAGACCTACCTAGTTGAGCTGGCTTTTGCCACATATGCCACTGCTTGGAAAACAAGCCTGCATTTAGGCTCACCTGACATCTTGCATGACCTTTAAGTAAACCTCTGTCACTTGAGGGTTTATTGACCCAACCTGCGGTCACTAAACTTCCTCAATTTTTCCAGCCCACTAGAAAATGGTGGCAAGTGCTTTCAGCTTCATTTTCTGCGGTTCCTACCATTAACCTTAATGATTTCCCATGAGCTGTTGAGAACATTGGAGTGGCCAAAAGTCAAAGGAGGGCTTGAAACCTGCCCTTTTGCTAGGTAGTGTTCAGCAAGGAGCATCTTGAAAAACATGCTGCTCCCGTTGCAAGCAAACTGGATTCCCCCCGGTGCTGAGAAGGGCTCCCGTGCATACCTGAGGGCCGGCGCACGCACGCAGCCTGAATGCTAACCATAGGGAAGTCAAAATGCACGGAGCATCTTCAGCTGCTATTTTTTAAATTCCAGATCTAATTAGTTTCTCATGGCTTTCCTGCTTCTTTAGAATAACTAGACCTAATTATGTACTAATGAGACCAAATTTATATTTCCAAAATTATTAAAAAAAAAAAATCTGTTCCCCAGCTGAGATGATATTTCCTAAATTCAACTTAAATCCATTTTTGTTTGCAGCTGACATTGGGAAATAAATAGGCAAATAGGAGTTTCTAATGGAAAGGCTGATTTAAATTTAAATGCATCCATTGTAAAATTTGGGCCTCTCTATTCTGGGCTTTAACTTGTGTTATTTAATTTCTGGTTAGCACTTAGAGGAAGGCAATGAAAAGTCCATTGAGATTTTGTTAGGATCTCTGCTTGTGTTTTTAAGAAATACGTTTCTACCTGTATTGTAACATCAGAGCTAATATTTGTCATATTAAGAGCTTTCTGCGTGTAAGGTCAATGAGAGATGACTGTACAGATTGTATGCTTTTTTTCATTTTTAGAGGGGTTGTTTTTTTTTTTTTTTTAGTTTAGGGCCTTTTGATTCTTTAAAAGGAAAATAAAGCTAACCAATTAACCCCTGACAGGAGGTTCATTAGAAGCTTTGTAATCCCTTGCCAAGTCCTTTGTATAAACGAACCAGTCTAGTACTAAGGATTTACACAGCTTAAGCTGAACACTGGAGGAGGCCTTTTAGTAAGCACATTTGTTCAGTTTTAAGACTTCTTCTCTTGCCTGAAAAGAGACTGTGCCGGTGTAGCGTACACAGTCATACATCAGTCCCTACGCTTTTCTTGTCAATAATAGAGAGCAGTGATGTTGATTGTCTAGGCTCCTGATTTCTTTGGTGGATGGATTAGACTAGCCCTCTACACTCGCCGTGGATTATAATGTGGAGTATATTTTAACGGGGGGAGGAGGAAGCAGCAGGGGGCGGGGGCAGCCGGTATCTTCCTTCATGTAGGTATAAATCCAGAGTTTGTTTAAATCAGCAGAGTAACAAGGGCTTCGAAGCAAGGAGAGGAAGCAATTGGCACGGGGACTGTCCACATCCCCTACCTGCTCCACAAGAAAAGCAGGGCAGGAAATGTTTGTTTGCACACTGTGCTCGGAGGAAGATGCAAAATACCCCACGGGAGCTGTGCCTGGCGGCCTCGTTCATAATACAGTCCTGTGCACTGATGAAAGAAGAGCACCTGGCAATTATTCATCCAGGAGCCGATTAAATTCATTAATCGCTTAGTATTGTAATGTGTTACATTACTGAAAAAGAGATTTTGCTCTTAAATGCAAACTGTTATTTAGACACATTTCTGTATGCTAGACTAACTGCTCCCTCCTTTTACGGGAAGGAAATGAATGAGTGCTGCAGTTTTATGTGCTTATTATCTATGAGTTTAATACCGGTGTGGTTTGTGGGTCTTTTTACTATGAATCCCTTTGTGCTTTGATAATGTTGCAGAGCCTTTGTTTTCTATGGAAATTATTTGTTCATTTAATGGAGCAGTGGGTCCGATCCTGCAGTCTCCGCTGAGTGAAAGTTTCCACTGTAGTCAGTACCGTACGTGCATATTTAAGAAAGAACCACATTGTTTTGTTTTATTTTCTGCAATGTGCAGAAAAGCAATGATTTTGCTATTGAAAAGCATACATGCTACAAAGTGCTCCCTCCCCTAGCACGTTCATTATATTCTGGTTCTAATAGTCGATGATCCCCATTTCCAGAAAATGCAGTATCTTGTTTGCTGTACAGATGACTTACCGGGGTCATGGGGTGACGTTTGAGTCATTCATGGCATTTTTCCTTCAGGCCTGATGGAATAGGAACTGTAACGGTAGACGAGAAGGAGCGTTTTGAAGAAATCAAGGAAAGGCTCCGTTTACTCCTGGAGAATCAAATCACGCATTTTAGGTAAAGACAAGCTTCCAGCTTACAGCAAAGGAGGGTGCATTTCCTCTAGTTTCTGTCCCACAGACACAGCATCTTAGAAACTAAATTTCCAAGGCAGCAACTTCTTATCTCTCTGCAAAAGCAGTATGCACAGTGTCAAACAACTGAGCATGTTGTGGATGCTGCAGAAGGCACAAATGTGTTTGCAGCGGATTAGCAGAAGTTGCACTCCTTTGAGGTATTTCAGCATGTCTTGCCCACATGGGCCTCAGACATGGTGAGGAATCAGACTAGATCAATAATTTTAATGCAATACTGAAACACCCTGCGTCTTATTTCTTGCCCTTTCCCATCCATCCCCTTCTGCTTAATAGCAGTCTTTCCCCATCTCCCCCAAATGTAAAGACAGACAGTTATTGTTTTTCTTGCCCCCAGGGATGGTATAATTATGGGAACAACAGATACCACCCGCCTTTATAGGTGATAAGATCCCCTCTGACAAAGGGGCATTTTCGTGCAGTGGTCATCCCCAATTCTTCAGATGAGGGCTGACATAAAGCTTCATGAAAATCAAATGCCACTTTCAAAAATAAAGTAGTCAGTTCAAGCAATTAGTTATGGCCCGAGATTATGATGGGATCAGTAGTTTCCCAGCTTGAAGTCACTTATCCCATCCTTTTTTGGGAATCCCTTTTCCCTTTTATTGCAATGAAATGGTATTTAACCCCTTCCTGGTAGAGCTAGACACTCTCCCTCTCCCAGTTGACAGCCAGATCTAATGAGCTGGAAGACTACCTACTCTTACCAGTCACCCATCATTTCATTTTCCCGCTGACGGGAGCCTTGGGCTCCATCCTTCAGACCGCAGATCGGGGCACACAGACAGTTTCTGAGAGTTTCTACCAAAGAGTGAGGGACCTAATCTGATTCAAGCACCAGGCCCTGAGCCAAGGTGCGGAGGGTCTCACTCTGTCAAGCAGGGGCAGAGGGCCCACCTGTCCCATTTCAGAGAGCATCTTTCTTATTGTGTCACTGTTCAGCTTACTGGCACGTCTGAGCCAGTAAGCCCCAAGCACCCAACTAATCTTTCAAATCATATGTTTTTCTAGGTATTGCTTTCCATTTGGCCGACCAGAAGGTGCATTAAAAGCTACTCTCTCGCTACTGGAAAGGGTAAGCATAAGAATAACAAGGTTGTTTTAAAATCCTGTAGGCATACACAGTCCCCCATGCAGGAGAGTTTCCGTGGCCTTAAAGTATGCACGTATGCACAGGTCAGACTAGGTAATGCTGCATTATTAATTATGTCAATTGGTTGATGTTGCAATTATATGAACGAGTGCAGTTGATGGAGAATTTTGAATGTTATGAACCTAATTTTCCCTTTCACAAAACCACTTTTTTTCCTTTGGACTTGATAGTCTATGGAATCGGGGTCATGCTGCTCTAATACTGGCATAACGAGGTAGAATCAGTCTTTTTAAGTGTTATGTTAAATGGTTCCAAAAAAGCTTCCCATCTGCAATAAAGCACTTGGACTGCATCCTCTGTGGGGCCAGAATCGGCCGCTTCTGGACCCAAAAGCCAGAGTTCCTACTGTCTGAACCACAAAATCGAGCCCTGTAGTCAGGGACCAGCAGCCAGGCTGCATGAGCAGTGGAAATGCATGAATTTGTTGAGCATACAAAAAATCCACAGTGATCAATTATGTGAATGCCTGATGCCACAACAAATCAGTTTTTCTTATGTCAAGGTCCTTATGAAAGACATAGTTACTCCAGTTCCTCAAGAGGAGGTAAAAACAGTCATCCGTAGATGCTTGGAGCAGGCAGCTTTAGTCAACTATACTCGACTATCAGAGTATGCCAAAATTGAAGGTAAGGCAATTTCTTTGTGACATTACAATTTTGCAATGTTTCTAGGTGGGGACTATGGCTGGCAGCTGTTTTTAAAAAAAAAATTAAATACTTTTTTCCACTTGAACAGAAAACAGAATTGGCTATGGAGCATTCTTGCAGTGTTGATTTGCTTAAAAGCAATGGAGAGTAGAGGTTGGGTAAAATATTTCTTTTTCTGGGGGGAAAAAGAGATGAAACAGTTAACAGACTCCCAGCTTCATTTGACTGTTAGTGCATTTGGCCAGTGGTACAGCATTCATACGCGTGTCATCGTTTTAAAAAACAAATTAAGAAATACATGGGATGTCATCTTCATAGCTGGAAAGTAAAATGCAACTAATTGCTTGTGACATTGGAGTGCAGGGAACAATCGAAATACAAGAATCAAAAACAAACAAAAAAAAGCTTTATCTCTGCTTATTGGGTTGTAGAAAACTTAAAATGTCTTTTGCTGGATAGTGTTTCATTGCCTTTCCTTTGTGCCTAGTGCAAGTCATTGATCGTTGGTCCCATACTTGCATCAGATTTCATTCTTGTCACTCTAAATCCAACGTCGCTGATATTACTGACCTTTTAAGTTATGGGGGAATAATAACTGGTGACCAGAGACACATGTAGCCATCAAAAAGACATTTTAAAACTTGCCAGAGGATATATTGTTTGTTGGAGCGCTATAATTCAATAGATGATTACATGTTAATCACTTTTCATTGTTACCTTGTTGGCTGCTATTCAACAATCTGAAATTCCTGAACAACTTCTTCTGTGCCGATAACTGAGAACTCTGCTTACAATGAAATGTATGTTCTGCAGTGGTGTTGTGTGAGATTAAAGAGGCTTTCCTAAAGCTAGATCCATGTTGTATGTCTCTCAGATATTACAGAAAGTGGAGAAATCCCTCTATGATTTGCTCCTGGTTCTTGCTTATATGAGGAACTGGGTTATAACGCATCAAATTGTCCAGGTGCTGTACATGACATGTCCTCTCTTTTTCTATTTTTTTCTGTCTGACGATGCAAATTGTGTACCAGTGGTAATGAATTCGTTGTTATGCATCCAGTGAGAAACACTTAAGAATTGGGCACTAAAAGGATGTTTATCAACTCTTGACTTGGTAATGAGTGACAAAAATAGAGAAGAAATGGAGGTTTAATAAGCACTGTATTATCAGGCAATTTATCGAAGCACTCAACTTCACAGGATATTTTAATTGGTGTTTTCTGTAAAATGCAATGTTTAAATATACTTGACAAGGACGGAGAAGGACTCGGAGTGAAAACAACTTTTGTTTTGATGGCTGCTGCTACCAAATGCTGGCTTCCCTAGGTCTCTGTGCAAATATCCCTAACCCGTTGGTAAGATTTGCTCTCTTCTTTCAGATAAATCTATGCAAAAAACAAACTTTATGATCTGTAAGTAAAAATGCATTCATTTCCAAAGTAGAACAGTTAGTGTGTACTTTCCTTTTGTGCCTCAATTCTTCTTGGTTGTGTTAATTATCTGCCCTCCTTTTTGCACTGTGACTTTTAGGTCTGGGGATACTTTGAAGCAACAAACTTTTTTTTTCCAGCTACCTTTTCAGAGAAATTCTTCATTCCACACTACTTGCTCTCTTCTGCTTCTCTCCTCCCTTATTCGTGATTGGCCACAGCCACTTTTCTATGTTGCCGCTATAAAAGTGGTTGTGACACCAATTTCAAAGCATGCTGGGATTGTTACTCCAAACAACCCAACATCCGCCAGCTGCATGCATCAGGTTTTCTTTCATGAGCATAGTCCACGACAAGGTACAAACCAGTTCGCTTCCAAAAGAGTTGCCTCCATGAGATGCCTTTGTCTACACAGCATGCGATTTTGAAACCAAAATGGTTTAAACTTGGCCATCCAAGCATTTCAGAAATTCCTGGCGGCGCAGGAGGAAATATTAGCAGCAGAACTGCTTGAGGCTATGTTTATGAAGAAATACCTGCAAAAGCCTTAGATACTGAAGGCCAAAACCCTTAGTATCTCGGAGCCTTAATTCAATGGAATTCTACTTCCTTCTATTCATGATGTTTGGATCATTATATTCTTGCAAACAATCCAGAATAAACCTCTACAATCATGGTCACAACCTCTTCTGTGACTCATGGGCATGCTGAATGGTTAATCCAATAGATCTCCAATTTTAAAGCTCTCCTTTTTTTTTTTTCCTTTTATCCTGTGTGTACCCCAAAATACTCTACAGCTATTTTCCTCTTAAGCTAATATAAAGTTTTCCTCTGACCTATAACCTCTTTACCTCTGACCTAAGCCTCTTGCATGCCCAAATCCTCTTTTATAGGGAAAAAGAGAGAAATGTATGAGCATCCTGTCTTCTGCTTGGCCTCTCAAGTGATGGATTTAACCATTCGTGAGTACCTACCACCCTCCTCTCCATGCTGTCTTCACTCTTTCTGTTTTCATTACTCCAAGAAAATCCAGATCCAAACCAACTCACTTTCCTTGCTTCAAGTCTTTTAGCATTGGCTTGTCTGTTGCTTCTGTCTGTGAAACCCAGTGTGAGAAGTCCAGTCACTTTTTATCAGCCTAAAACAGGTTAGACAATTAAGCCATTTGTTTGTGATGAACTCCGATTGTCTGTAAGTTTTTTCAGTTTATTCTTTATGTCTGTGACCTGAATGCATTTTTACTTTGCTTCTGTGTAACCCCAATTTGTAAAGTACTTGTCACTGGTACACAATCAAAAGGTAGCAGCTACACTGGGAAACAATGAGCTAGAGGTCAGATAAAGGACATTTGGAAAAAGGCATCCCTTTTCCGGTGTATACGATCTTGAAACGCTCCTGTATATAAGATCATATAAAGCTGTCCTTTCTCTGTACATCAGATCTTACATGTCTTCCGTCTGTTCTCTCTCAAGCAGAAATGCTTTTATTTGTTCTCTCTCTAGATTTTTTTATTTATTCTTTTACACCAAGCTCTGGCTGGGACATGCAAACTTAGCAGTCGTATGTTCCCAGAGCTTAGCTCACTGAGTTCACTAATTTTCTATTCGTGCAGCATTTTCTTTCACCCCTGTGAAAGGAGCCGTTTTGGTGATGCCATGCTTCTGGGTGGTGGGAGTGAAGGGGGCAACTTTTTTTTTTCCTTTTCAAATGTCATATATCACACATAACTGCGGGGCATTTTGGTCCACTTGCTCATTAATCCTGCATATCTGTTCTTGTTTCTCTCTCTTCTCTCCTTGTCGCTCTCTCTCTTTCATATAGAGAATCAAAAGGATGCAGGTGAACAATTGTATATGCATTATAAATTGCTAGGACTGTTGAGTTATATATATATATATATATCTATCTATCTTTGTTTTCTTTCATAGCTCCTTAAGATATGTACTCCTATAGACTGAAAACGGAGTTGCCATAATACTTAAGGAGTTAATTTGTGCTGTCTCGACATACATAATCTCTTTTACGCGTGCCTCAGGGTATAGTATAGAGCAGAGCTCATTTATAGTGAAAGGACAACGTGACGAGGGGACAGGTTTTCAGTGAATAGACATCTATCCCGATAGAAGAAAAAGTTTCCTGTTTTCCAAAGGAACTAAAACTACTTTTTGATGCAGAAAAGTCCAAATGATTTGGCCTGCCATTTGAACACTGAATGAGCACATTTATGACTCAACTAATGTTCATTTTTGTTTTTCACATCTGTTTGATGCCCTCCTGGGAAGAATGGTTTTTTGTTAATGTGTAACTAACAACACCCAGTCAGACAAAAGTTGTGTTTGTCTTTTGTTCGTAACCTGTGGCGACTCGTAATGAAGCCGGGGCCGGGCTCAGACCTTTCCACTCCAATTCTTTTCGGTAGCGCTCCTGGACTGGTGTCACTTTTTTCACAACTCTTACATATCAGGGTTAATGGTTTGACACTTCTTGACATATCAACCATTAGTTTCTTTTTCTGAAATAATTTAAACGGTTGTTTCCTC